GCCTTTCAGCTACCATAACCTCACAGGGTTATGCAGACTTCTGTTGAATCAAACAATCAGTATTCAGCATTTGATAAGTGCCTAATGGGTGTGGACACTGTGCTAGTTACTGGGATTATAGATACAAAAAGAAGATAGTCCCTGTCCTTAAATAGTTTACATTCATCATTGGGAATGTAATGTAATTCCATTGGGAACATGTATGTATATAAAATGTATAATATACAATTATGTTATATATTATAATATGTAATACATAAGTATATAAAATGTAAAAACATGCATATACATGTATGTATGTATGTATGTATGTATATAGTGATTTTGAGTTCTTGTTGACCTATTCCATGTTAAAGTTACCTCATAAAGCCAGAGCTATAACTAGGACTTTTTTGTACCTAGGACAAGTATCATATCTGGGGTAAGCAGTGTGAAATATGCACTCAACAGGGCAGCATGGGGTGGGGAAGCTCACCTTAGCACACCAATCTGGAAGCCTCCTATTTAAATTAATTAATTATTTTTGCTAACCAGACACTAAGACCATTTGTTTCTAAGATGCTGAAGGACTTCAAGTACTGCTGGTGTTCTTTAAATCTGGTATGCCTGAGCAAAATCCCAACCTAGTTATAGCCTTGCATAAATAGCTGAACAGTTTGTACCTTTCCAGGCTAATGACAACGTGCCCCCAGGTTGTACTTTAACTAGCTTATTTTCCTATGGTTCATTTTTTTTCCTGCTTCCCATGGGGTGATAGGAATATCTATGAAGATGGAGCTAAAAGATTTGATCAGCTCAGGTAGAAATACTAGCTAATTTTCTTTGTAAAACTTTGTAAAACTACTGGGTGGTGAGATGAAGGAGGGAACCAGACTTCTTTGGTATTTCAGGAATTACTATTTTATTGTAACATCCTATGGTCATTTTGTTGATCATTCAGATTCCTTACTAGTCACCCACACTCTATCCCCTTTTCCCCAGCCATCTTCTTTCTCCTACCTACTTATCCACTCACTCCATTAACCCCCACTTCTCCCTTTACCCACATACCTGTTTACTCCTCCATTTCCCCACCCTCTCACCTGTCAGCTCACTGATCTTTGTGCATCTGGATATATGCTTTGGTATTGGGGTTTACATTATCAGGGGAATTAATCTGAACCTAGTTATCCTGTGTGTGTGCTCTTGCACACGAACATGTCTATGCAATAGAGAGAGTGCTTTACTTCTCTCAGTTATTCTAAAAAATAGGGAATGAGAAAAACTTAACTCTCTCTACCCAGAGATGTACAATTATCTGAAACACTTCTCTTTTAAAGAGAAACCTGCCTGGAAAGAATTTTTAAAGTCCCCATTTTTTGTTTGTGGGAGGCAAGGAGGGAATTAGGAACTAATGATATCGTTTACAGTTCTAATACACCACCCTCTACTTCCTTGGTACAATCCTAGTCTTTCTTCCACAACCTAGGAAGGTTGATGGTAATCATTTATTGGGTAAAAGTCACTGAGCCAATGAAATGTCAACATAATTTTTGTGTTAGCAATGAACTAGAAACAACATATATGGCTCTTGTGTACTGGGGAGTGGCTAAATAGACTGTGGTGTGTGAACGTAATTGTGATGTTAGAAACAATATATAATAGTCCTCTAGAAAAACTTCTTCCCAGGGTCTTTAGTGATTTGCCCCCTCACAAGGCAGCCAATCCAAGCCTTGACAGAAGGACTGTCATAAGTGAATATGAAGCATTCAGAGAATTATGGGGAGATTTATATGAACTGGTATGGAGTGAAGTAGCACGAGAAAATGCTGGCAACAACAATGTAAAGCGAAAGAACAAAAATAATTAAATACTACATAATTATAATTACCAAGAAGTTAAACCCTATAGAAAAAATTGAAGAAATAACCTTTTGCTATCTTCATTGTACTAGTGGGAGACTGTGGACATGTAATATTGCCAATGTTGGTTATACTCTCTTCCCTTCTCCATCTTGAATCCTTGGTAAATTGGTTTAACTCTACACTTTACTCTTGAGTCCATTGACCCCCCCCCCATACTTTTGCCATGCTCCAACCTTTGATTATTTCCTCCATTTGTTATATTCATGTGTTACTGAATAAAGCTAGAGAAAAATCAGGAAACTGTGCTTACTTGGTCCATTACAAATTTATGTTGTATAATCCCAAATGGGCCCTCATCAAAGCAACGCAATCCTTTTACATCTTCCTAATCAGTTCATTATCTCATTCACTACCAAAGCTTTTCTAAAACTTTTCATCTCTTCTCAAATGTTCTTCTTTCTCCACCTTCTCAGCTGAAAACTTTGCCTCATATTTCAGTAATAAGGTCAAGCCATTCATTGAGAGCTCCCTCTTCTTTCCCCCTTCTTATATAATGCAAGTGCCTTCTGCCACTATCTCCTCCTTCACTCTTGTCTCACATGAAGAAATAGCTCTTTTTACCAAGACCCTGTACAAGCGCAAGTGATCCCATTCCATCTTTTTCTTTTCTACAGATTGCCCCCTCTATCATTTCTATTCTCTCACTTATCTTCAATCTCTCTCTCTGTCAGCTGGGTGCTTCCCTACTGCCTACAGACCTGCCCTTGTCTCCTCCATCCTCAAAAACCCTTACCTGATCCATCCATCTTCTCTTGATATCTTCCTTTCTTTGTTCCTCCTGTTTTGACTAAACTGGAGAAAGCCATCTATAATTGGTGCCTCCACTCCCTTTCTTCACATTCACTTCTTACCACTGCTATCTGGCTTCTAACCTCATCATTCACCTGAAAATTTCCTCTTCAAAGTTAGTAATGCTCTCTTAATTGCCAAATCTAATGTCCTTTTCTCAATCCTCAGCCTTCATGACCACTATAAGTAGCCTTTGCCACTGTCAGTCACCTCCTTGTTACTCCTTTCTCTCTAGAATTTTACAACACTGCTTTCTCCTGCTTTTCCTCCTGCCTATATGATTACTTCTTCTCAGTTTACTTTGATCTATTTCATCCAGATCATGCCCATTACCCTCAAAGGTGAGAATCCAAGTGGGACCCTCAGCATTCTGTCATGGGCTCCTTTTCTCCCTTTTATTTCACTTGGTGATCTCATCAACTCCCATGGATTCAATAATCATCTTTATTGGGAAGGATTCAATAATCATTTTTATTGGGATGATTCTCAGATCTCTTTATCCAAACCTCATGCTCTGGTATGAGACCTCTGGTCTCACATCTCCAATTGCCTATTGGACATCTAATATTCAATATGTACACAATTGCACTCCTTATCTTCCCTAACCCTGCCCCCAACTCTCCCTAAATTCCCTGATCATGTCAAAGACACTATGATCTCCCCATATCCTCCAAGTCACCCACTCTCTAAAATCTAGGCGCCATCATCTTTTACTTTCACCTATTTAATCTGTTGCCTTTCTGCCCCCTTATTCTATAACTGCAATACTTCCCTATTATCTCCAGGATCAAATATAAAAATACTCTTTTGCCTTTTTAAGTCCTTCATAACCTGGCCCCTTCCTGCATTTTCTATCTTTTAATACTTTATTCCCCTACATTTATTCTTTGGTTCAATGACCCTGGCCTCTTTGTTATTCTTTGCATGTGACACTCTAACACCCAGCTCCATGGATTTGACTAGCTGTTTCCTATGCCTGCAATGATCTCCCTTCTAGTCTCTGCTTCTTGACTTCCCTAGATTTCTTTAAGTCTCAGCTAAAATCTGACCTTCTCACTTTCCCTGGTCTTCCTTAATGCTAGTGCATTCCCTCTGTGATTATCTCTAATTTATCCAATATGTGTCTGGTTTGTACATACTTGTTTGCATGTTGTCTCCTGCTTTTGACCCAGACTCTGAAAGCAGGCACTGTTTTTCTACTTTCTTCATTATCTCAAGCACTGAGCATAGTGTCTGGAACATAGTAGGCACTTAACAAGTACTTGTTGACTGACTGATACTGGTCACAGTTAATTGATGTGTAGCTGTTTTGCTGAATTGCTTTTTTTCTTTTAAAAAATCATTATAAGGGGGTAGCTAGATGGGGAGATATATTTGGAAATAAAGGTAGTAGAACAACAAAAATATCAGAAAAAAAATTTTTTTAGAGAAATATCATCATAAATGTTATTTCTGAACCAGTGGGAAAATATAAAAACATACTAGAAAATACATGGATTTATGGTATAAGTCATGAAACCTAAGCTATATCTCTCATCCATGCAGTGATGTGATAACTATTTTGGAGATGAAGTCTAGAACAGTCTGAGAAGTCTGAGTCCATATATACGGTGATGAATTGGACATTTCAGAAAGTACAGTAATCCTGCATTTAACAGACCTCCTTGGGGAGTGAAGTGAATTTTCCAAATAACTGAAATATGTGCCCATAACCACCAAAGCGTTTTAAAAACTATGTTGTGTGATCTTTTGAACTTGTTTTACTATATATTTTCCTGCTTTCTCAACAAAATATAGTCAACATAATCTAATCTTTTCTTTGTGACCCAGGATTATTATGTTATCAGGAGCTAGTGATTTAGGCCGGATTTCTCCTACATTAAATGTCAGCAGAACACTATACTTTGGAAGTTCTTACATTTTTTTGGTATTTTTTTTCCTCTCTCTCCTCCTTCATTGTCCTGCTGTCAACTGTGGTCTCTTGCCACAGTGGGTTGTCAAAACAGGTAACACTGTTAGAATTATATGAAAAACCAGAGTAAATAGGCTCTGGCTTCATTTTGGTTGATCAGAAATCTTTTATGCATACTTCCTGGTTATCAACTATGTCCCAGATACCTGAGGTTGCTAGATAAAAGACTCCCCACCCCACCCCAGATAAATGAAATACTATAACAAATAATAATTCTTGCAAAAACTTTCTCCCCCAGTCATTGAGAGAAAACTAACATGGATGTCTCGAGGCCCATGAACCCCCAATTCCAAATAATCATTTCTTTCTATCTAATTTCCTTTCTTGTTTTGCAGTCCCCATTCTGTCCCAGATCGCCTACGGATCCGAGTGAACAGAATTAGTTTACAAGACTATGAAGGCTTGCACTATGACAAAGAAAAGCTCCGGGAAGCTTGTAAGTTAAGAGTGTGTCATTGAGTTTCATACAATTGACTTAAAGCTTTCTTCACTCTCCTTCATTTTGCAGTTAGGTTCATTATTGCTTGTATGCCAAAATTTTAACAATGAGGGAACAAAGGAACAAAAACAAAGGCTCTGAATAGGTGTGTGTGTGTGTGTGTATATTTAAAGGTAAACCAGAGAGGGAAATCAGCAGGATGAAATCAGTTTTCCATAGGCATGACAGTAGGATCTGTTGGTTTAAATATAGCTTTAGTCTCTCTTATGTTCCCCCATGAATGAGAAAAGCAAATGATTGATTATAATACAAAGCGCAGCAAGATACAAGAAGTCCTGGGTGCAGTGCAAGGCTATGTGTTTACTCGTGACTGCCCTCCCCCACCACAACTCAGCTGTGTCTTCAGCCTTCATGTCTGCAGATATTGTTATGTATGATATAATCTAACAATTATGCACTGTCATCATCCAGTTATTGGAAGTGAAACTATATATGATGTAGACCTTCCAGTATTTCTTTTAATTAAGCCACCTTATCTTGAATTCTGTGCTACAGTGACATCCATTATGCTGAAGGTCCGATGTACTGGGGTAGTAGAATTGATTCTATGTGCTATTTGTCAGATTTTCAGGTGAGTCAAACTTGCATTTGGTGGACAGGACTGACTAAGGAGATTAGAGCCAGGACTTAGAGGGATCTCACTATATGACTTATTCCAAAGTTCCTTACCAAAAAGCAGGCATGCAGAGTAGTTCCAGAAACCCACAGCTATCCTGTAGCTGGACTAAGATGGCCTTTTGTGGTTCACTATGGTCAATCTGGAGTCAACATGGAGATTTAGAAAAAGTTTTCCTGATGAAGACGTAAGTCCTCTTAAGTCAGTCATATACCCTGGTCTTCCTTCTCAAGTTCTATGGTCATTTCTCTTGGAAAGAAACTCCATTGTTTCTGTTCAAGCCTGATTATGACTGATTTTTTAAACCATGAAATTGTAAATATCCAGACTGTCATTGCTTTTAGCTTTAACATATAAATGGACACTGGTCATTTAGTTAGTCATTGAGCATTTATTAAATATATATACATATACACATAAACACATCTGCCTATTTATGTATCTGTATATGTGTATATGTTTAATAAATGCTTGATGACTGACTAAATGACTAGTGTCTATGTATTATATATTATTCTATTGTATATTATGCAAACATATGTGTGTATATATATGTATATAGTTATATATGTAAGTGTATATGTTTAATAAATACTTGATGTGTAGGAAAAAAAGAACCAGGACTTAAAACTAATTAGTATCTCTTCTAGGCTCACTTCTCTCAACCTACACTTGTACTCAAGGGTGATGGTTCTCACAGGGTCAGTTGCTTCCTTCTCTTCTCAGCCTTCTATGGATAACCATAAGGGATTGTTGCTTTTAACACAGTAACTTCTGAGACCCCCCTGATGTGCTTCTATTTATCAACCAACCAGATGAAATCTATTCCCTTTTACAAAAAGAATTTACTGAGTAGATATAACAAGAATAATTGGTACAAAAAAATCTCTTCTCAAAAGACTGGAGTCTACTTTCCTACAAATACAGATAGATCTATGAGAAAAATGGGCTCAAACTTAAAATATAATGGTAGTGAGGTCCAAGTATAGGGAACACTTGTGGCAAAGGGATACCTTTAAAGTCCTGGCACTGGAAGTCATTTCCTCCCTTTGTATGTTCCTCATTGAGTTCCATTGAAATATTGTTCTTTGTTGTGTTCTGAACATTGGTACCTTTCAGAGTCCATAGACAGCATTTGTTTCTTCTGTAAGGGAACTTGCTGCCTGTACCTCATGTTGTCCACTTTCCACCAAGGCATACTTAGGCCTTTCACTTCCCAATCTGCAACCAATTTTGACCTCCCACATGTCCTTGAATTTCTCATTTCACAACCTTGGTAGATATGATAGAGGGGGAATAGTGTTTCCACATCTCTCAGCAGATATTTCTTCTGTTACCACATCCTATCATTGGTAAGGCTGTTCTTATACATCTGTCTGCAGGTGTTTCCTCTGCCATTGGCCACTATTGATCTAGTAGCAATGGCTACCACCTCTACTTGGTGGTGGGATGTCTGAAGGGACTTCTGGATCTCCTGAACTCAGAAGGTTGCCTGAGTATTTTCATCTTGAAATACTCATTTACTTAAGAAAAGAATAAACACAAAAGAAATAGAGTTGTCATGTGCTTATGGGCACATGGCAGCCAGATAGGGAATGCTATCAGTGGGCCCTCCTCTACCTGGCAGCTCAAAGCATCCTTATCTCACCAAGAAGGAAAACAGAGTGAGAGATGGGTGGGTGGCCCTCTTTTGATTAGCAATTCAGCTAACCCTTTGGGAGGTAGCTAGTAAGTGTTAGACCTAACAAGAGTTAGGAGATGGTAAAAGTTCACCAAGTATCCATTGTTTCAGATAATGTGTGTGTGTGTGTGTGTGTGTGTGTGTGTGTGTGTGTGTGTGTGTTTGTGAGTGTTTTGTGGGGGGAGAAGGAAGAGAGAGAAAGAATTCTGGTAAATCTATTTTCCAAGGTACAAATCAGAAGAAAAATGCACCCATAATGGTAGGGGAGCCAGTTGGGTGGGGGGCCATCATCTAATCCTTGCATGTAGGGTTTCAATCTAGTTTTCTGTGGCTAAAAAAGAAATGGCCTTGATGATGACCCAGTGAATGCAGCATACAGGCTGTTTGTGATAGCGGTCTAACAGAGGCTTGTTCTTATGTCTGCACCATTATTCATATTAAATTACAAGCATGAATGTTTGTCATGTAACAAAGGCCGTGTTCTCTCTGTAATGCTGGACTCCCTGGTAATTACAGGATGGCAGGCCTTTCAATTACTTTGCTTATTTTACTGTAGAGGGAGATGGGGATACTATGTCAATTCCCCCCCATTCCCCTTCCTTCCAGTCCCTTTTCAAAACAATAGAATTGAGATGGCTAGGCCTTGACATTCCCCTCTTTGACTCCTGCTGGTAAATTTCAGACTTAATTAAAACAATTAGAGTCTTCATCACTAGGCTGATGAGAATAACCACAAGATGATGGTTGCGAATTGCAGGAGAGGAAAGTCTATTAAACTTAAGCAGTGGAGCATAAACAATGAGGGACCGATTTTTTTTTTTAAGCAAAAGCTGTAACAATGACAGTACAAAATTGTTCCCTTCAGCTGAATTATGTCTCTCAGTGAGTCTCTGCTGACCCAGCTCAAAATCATCTATTCTAGGCAAAAAGGTAATCATTCTTTGGGTAAATCTGATTTCATTTTTTAACTCCTCCTAAAAGATTTATTAATACATGAAACACTTCTTACGAAAAATCTTTGTTTTACTGATTGATGTTGTACAATATTACTTGGAAACTGCGGTCAGTTTTCAATTCTGCCACTGAATTACTCTGTGACATTGAACAACCATGACAGGTACCCTTAATGTAGGGTCTAATAGACTTAATCTTTCTGGTTCTAATGAAAATTAGACAAAATGCCACGGTTGATTGGTTCCTATGTTTTGTTTTGTTTTGTTTTTTCCATCTTTTTCTCATTACAGGTGGGGTCTTAGATCACTAAAGCTTGGGCAAGTCTGTGAGCCAAGCTGCCTCACAGACTGAATGCATGGTCACCCCATGCCTCCCACCCACTACATAAGTCACCATGTGAAGACAGTTTACACTTAATGGAGAACAATATAGTGCAATAGCTGGACCATTGTCAAGGCGCATGGACAAAACAGTCCTGTCCTAAGCCATTGACCAGTGCCTCAGAAGACAGGGCTTGTATTCTCTCAGGCTAGTGAAATGGAGAGCTGTTAAAAAATGTAAAGAAATGGGTATGCACACCGTATATAAATGGGGTGTGTAAAGAAGGATAGTCTTTGTGCCTAATAGCTTTTTTTCATTATTATGAACTTGAGAACATCAATAAACATGAATATTTCCTTAAACAAAAAGAACAGAAAAAGAGGATTGTATATGATCCTATGAATTTCTATTATGTATAGCCTATTGATTTTTTTTATTTTTAGAGTCTAATAACTTTTTGAAATTATGAAAGCTTAACCTTAATTCTTCTATAACCCTGTGTATAAAATGAGGCTAATTGATAATACCTGTGTTTGCCCAGTACAAAAGAATGTTGTGAGAATAAGGAGAACAAAGATTGGCATCTTTTGAATCTATTGTAAAGGAGATAAGATGTAAATGCCATTATTATCATTTAAAAAATTATTCTAGTGCTAGAGTGAAATAAACAAAATAATGAGTTCGATATCATCAGAAAAATGATCGTCTTATGGTAGGATAGGCAGAATACCTCTGATTTGTTTAATTCTTCCACCTCCATAGCATGTGGTTAGACACATACAAACATTCATGAAACTGAGGCAAGTAGTATTTATATTCATGGGATCACAAAATACAGGACTAGAAACAACGTTAGAGATGTTCTGGTCTAACCTCGTCGTTTTACACACGAGGAGACTGAAGGCCAGAGAGGTTGTGACTGATCTAAGATTCTATTGTCAGATAGCAAGTATCAAAACCAGAATTTGAACCTAGGGCTTTTGACACCAAATCTAGTATTCTCAACCACACCTAAACACATGAGGAACTGAATAGTTTTTGTCAGTTTGGGATACCGAATACTAAATAATGTCTTTAGTGTGTAACAATAATAATGATCACATAATAATAATAGTGATAAAATAACATTTTGCAATTTACTTTCTTTACAACTCCCTGAGTTAAACATTGCAAGTGTTAATATTATAAATAAGAAAGAATTATCATCATTATTATTGTTAATAAATTATAATTCTGACATTTGTATACTTTCCAGAAAAAGGAGCCTTTAAGGCCAAAGAATTGGAGTTACAGGTTTGTATAAAAGGAGACCTTTAGTTTCTTTCTTGGAAACAAGATGAATGAGAATAATTATGTTTAAAAAGA